CTCCAGGATCCTGCACCCTCCAGGTTTAGCCATGGGTGGGTATGTGGGAGAGAGAAACCTCTGAGCACCTGGATCCAACACCAGGAAACTCTATTGATGCACAGGAACAGACAAAACCCCAAGATATAAATATCACTTCGTGGTCACAGAGGTATAAGTAGATTAAATGCTCAATTCCAACTGATTTTGAGATGCTTCATCCCAGGGTTTTGTTTTTTTTTTTGCAGTGGATGTTACCAAGGACAGAGCAGGGCTTGGAAATCTAAACAAAGCTACATTGGAATCAGTTTTTCTTGGTTAATTAGGGAAGACTTTCTCTGAACAACGGTACAGCGACAATATTTGGTCTGTGAGTTCTTTACAAAAACAGGAGTTTCACAGTATCAAAAGTGCTTCATTAGCAAAATGTGGTGTAAAACCAGCAGTTCGGGGGTTGTGTTTCTGACAGTGACTCCTCGAGGGGCTGGAGCAGGTTACTGCAGCCTTGGGACCCTCCAGCAGGGCTTGGCTCACGTCATTCTTCTCTTCATAGCAATAAATATAAATAAATTTACAAACAGCAACACTGCCTAGCACAAGAACAGACAGAAGCACAATACACAAGGCTAGAAACCAAACTAGTTTCTTTCAAAACTCCTAAAAAATAGGCTTAGCTCCTAAAATCTTCTAACCAGTGACAAGTTTAACAGTTCAGCAGTGACAGTTCCTGCAGGGCTGAGGACTTTGTCTTTAAGCCTAGACACAACAGTTCTGCTCTGGGTTTGAGTGCTCACTTTCAGTACTTTTTTGCTCCTTTTTTTTTTCCTACCTCCTAACAATAAATTAACAATAGTTAATGTCAGGAAAGGGTTAGTGGTGCAAATGTCTCCAGGGCTGTGTGTGGTCTTTGTGCACATGAGGACAAACTCTGTCCTCATGGCAACAGTCATTTGGCAAATTCAGGAAGAAATGATACACGTGGTTCTTGATCCATTTTGGGCTCCAACTTGGTGCTGAGCAGCTCATTACCTTGTGTTGAAAGTGGTGACCAAAGAGCTACACCAGAACATAGTGTAGGTTAAATATATCCTAGCTGGGTTATTCCCAGCTCCATTCCAGTGAATGTTCCTACTGCTTGATGCCTTCCAGCTCTTTCTGCAGAGCTCCCCAGCCTGGCAACACAAGTGTCCATGCCCCTTCCTTGTTCTTGCCATGGGAGAAAGTGGTTGTACCAGTCACAGCTTAATTTATTTCAGCCTCACAGGCTGTCAATAGCCAACATGTCCCATGTGTCTGCAGGAGAAGCTCTTACTGCTGTCAGGTTGGACTCTACCCCTTGGGAGGAACCTGTGGGCTGGTGCAAAGCTCAGAGTAGAGGGTGTCAGGTTGGACTCTACCCCTTGGGAGGAACCCGTGGGCTGGTGCAAAGCTCAGAGCAGAGGAATGGGTTTGTTGCCTTGGGGATTCATGTACTGAGCAGCTGCCACGTTGTCCAGGGTGGTGTAGGTGGTGTAGAGACCAGTGACCTGCAAGTCTGAGAAGGAGTGGTCACTGCCACTGGACACTGGGGTGAGGCCAGGGGTGCCCAGGTCACAGTCTGAGAGGTGCAGAGGGGAGTTGTTGAAGGCACCCAGGGTGTCAAGGCTGAAGCTTTCATCTTTCATCTCCTCCCATATGTTACCTGGAACAGATTCCATGCTGGTCACAGCAACACATCCCACACAGCTCTGTGCAGGGGTCAGTCTGCCACTGAAGGGCTTACCCCCTGCTTTGGGTGTCTGTCCCCCATAAATCCTCTGGTTCCACACCTTTCCAGGCAGCACCTCTCTACCTGTGCTAACCAGGGACTCAGGGGGCACACCAGGCCTTGCCACAAGCCAGGGAAGTTCTCCCTGCACAGAAGGGGAACACCAAGGCAGAGCTCTGGTTTCCTGTGAGATGTGGTGTCCCAGCTCACAGAATTTCAAGGGTTGGAATGGCCCTTAGAGCCCCCACCCAGTCCCAACCCCCTGCCCTGGGCAGGGACACCTCCCCACTAGACCAGGTTGCTCAAAGATTCATCCAACCTGGCTCCAGCTGGTTGGACATCCCTGCTTAGGTCTTCTGCACTTGGGCCATGAAGGTGGTTTGCTGTTCTACCTGGCACAGGGACAAAAGCCACTGAGGAACCCCAGGGGAGTCACACTGCACCCAGCCCCAATTCTTAGCCCAGTCCCATCCCACCCCAAACATCCAGCTGAGGACCTTGGGGTGTCTGTTCAGTGACTACACAACCCCACAACCCATTCCCTGCCCTCCCCCGGTGCCTCCTCCCCATACCTTGCAATGCAAAATCCATAATGCTTGGGTCCAGAGCATCCACCTCGGTGTTCATGTCTGCTGTGACATTGATGAAGTCTGGAGGAGCACGTCCCAGGGGGTGAGGGGGCACGGGGCTGTGGCTCAGGTCGGGCAGGGTGTGCAGAGGAGGTGTCTGTGCAGGTGCAGGGGAGTTGGGGGCGATGCGAGCCTGGGCCTGGAGCTGGTGGTGCAGGGACTGCAGGGACAGTGTCATGATGGGCTGAGGCTGCAGCTGGGACAGGGACATCCTGCCCTGGGCTGTGCCCATGTGGCTCAGGGTGGGCCCCTCAGGCTCTGTGTGCTTGCTGGGTCTCCTGCAGCTCTCGGGTCTGTCCGTGATCAGCTTGTCCAGCTCCTCTGCACAACCAGTGCCCATTCCCAGGGAGGAAAAGAGACAGGTTAAACCCTTGGTTGGAGCAGGGGATGGTCAAAGTGTTTCACAGGTGAGCACAGCCAGATGCTTCTGCCACAGGAGTGAGGAAGCAGTGACTGTCACTGTGGGAGATGCAGCACAGAAGACTCTGCAGGGAGCAAAGAAATGCCAACAAATTCCCTGCCCTTAGCCCTTACCCTAGGCCACTTCCATGGCTACCTCGAAGGAATGATCTAAAGAAATGAGCTACAGAAATGATCATGATAGAGCATCCAAGCCACCCCCAGTGGCAGATGAGCCACAGGTGCAGAACTAAGTGTCCTCAGTAGGTCTTTGCTCATAAGGACACACTGAATTCTGCTTGTCTCTCATAAAAGATTCAAACAAGACACTCCTGACAGTTTCAGTGGCACTTAGGCTTTTAAGCAAAGGAGAATGTAATTTACCACTGGTTATATGTTACCAATTTTACAGCAAAAACTCCATTGATTTGGGCAATACTGAACTCCTGAAAACCTCAAAAACCTGTGCCATTACAAAGCAGAGTGAGAAAGTGTTGCTGAAGAGAGAGTTTTGCAGAGCAGCAGGTAAAACCCACTATAAATCACAACCCTGGAGGCAGAGAAGTCCTCAGGGAAGGCTGTGGATGTGAGGGATGGGGTGAGATAAGCCCTACCTGGGTTGGCCATGCTCCTGTGAATGGCAGCCAAGTCCTTCCTCTTCCACTTCTGCATCTCCTCTTCCATCTTGTCGATCTTGGCAGGGTTGAGTGCCCACAGACAACCCTTGCGAGAGGTCCCGCTCAGCTTGTTCTCCACCTTCTCAAAGCACTTGTTGAGGGACAGGTTGTGGCGCACAGAGTTCTTCCAGCCATCAGGGGCTGTCTGAAAGGTGCACGAGGGTGTTAGTGACACCAGCCAGCAGCAAAGTGCTTGTGATGTTGCCCTTCCACCCTTCAGCTCTGCATGTACCTTGAAGTAGGGGAAGTGCTCCTTCATGAAGCTGTAGATCTCGCTCACAGGGAGACTCCCAGTCTTGCTGTTCTTCAGGGCCATGGCAATCAGGCAGCTGTGGGACAGGGGATGCAGCAAATAACTCAGTCATTGTGGAATGAGTTGGGTTGGGTTGGAAGGACCTTAAAGATAATCTCAACTCCATGGGCTGGGACACCTTCCACTAGTCCAGGTTGCTCCAACCTGGCCTGGAACACTCGCAGGGATGGAGCAGCCACAGCTGCTCTGGGCAACCTGTGCCAGTGCCTCAGCACCTCACAGAGAGGAATTCCTTCCCAATATCTAATCTAACTCTCCCCTCTGTCAGTTTAAAGCCATTCCCCCTTGTCCTGTCACTCCAGGCTCTCTTCTGCTCCAGCAACCTCAGCCCCATCTCTCTAGTCCCAACCAGCTGCTGACCTTGAGATTACAGTTTCCAAGAGCTCTGAAGTCACTCTGTGACCCTCAGATCTCACTCTTCTCTGCTATTCCTCCACCTTTACACTGACATCCAGGAACTAGTTTGCTTGTTCACTCCTGCTGCTCTTCAGAGGCTTCCCCAGCACTCCTGGGTGGGTGGTGGGATATTTGCTCCCTCAAAAGGAACCAAACACTCCCATGGTGCCACCCCTGCAGTGTCCCAGTCCTCCAGGGCAGGCTGCAGGCAACGTGCTGTCTCTCCCCACTCACCTGTAGGAATAGATGGGCTTGGGGTAATGCTTTGGGTGCAGCTCCTGGGCAGAGTGAGGAGTCAGGCGAGGCTGGGAGAAGTGTGGCTGAGCCCCATAGGATGAGTTGTACATTGCTCCTGGGTTACACTGTGTGCAGAAGGAAGAGAAGGAAGATGTTACATGGGAAATGTCCCTGGAGGTGTAGGGTTAGGGATATTGTGTTCTTTTTTTCAAATGAGTTCTAGATCATAGAGTTTTAGGGGTTGGGATGGAGCTTAGAGATCATCCAGCCCCAACTCCTGCCCTGGGCAGGGACACCTCCCACCAGAGCAGGTTGCTCAAGGCTCATCCAACCTGGCTGTGAACACTGCCAGGGCTGGGGCAGCCACAGCCTCCCTGGGCAACCTGGGACAGTGTCTCACCACCCTCACAGGCAAAACTTCTGCCCAAGATCTAACCAAAATTTCCCCTCCTTCAATTTGAATCTGTTCCCCTTTACCCTGTCACTGCATAGATGTTCATAGATATGAACTTGGCAGGTATTTCAAGACACAAACAAGCAACTAACAGTACCTGTTGGGTGTTCTGGGCTAGGGCAAAGACCTGCTGTGAGTGAGGAGGAGGAGGAAAGAGCTGTTGCTGTGTCTGGAGAGCAGGAGGTGGCTGCCCACCCACGGCAAACTGGCTCATCTGTGAGAGAGACACAACATACTCCTGAGTTACCAACAGCCTTTCCCAAGAGCTGTGGCAATAACCATCGAGTCCTGCTCTTACATTGGCTCCATGTGTTGAAAGAGAGTTGAGTCCCAGGATTCCCTGTGGCAGACTGGCCTGGACATGGATCATGGCTCCAGGAGCTCCTGTGGAGTGCATGGGGTTGGCCACGGGACCTGGTTGGGAGAGAGCAGAGGTAAGGGATGCTCACATGGAAGTGCACTTGAGAAAAGAGAGCTGACACTGATGTTTAATAGATGGAGCTGAACACAGTTAAGCTCTGGAGTGGATAATCACACCTCTCTGCCTTCCCATCCCAAAGGAACCAGGAGCATTTCACAGGCTGCAGAGATGACATCAGCTGCTTCCCAAACTCGTTATGCAGGGAATGAAAGGTGCCAGCTGTTTAACAGTCCCTGGTGGTGTTACAGCCACGGCTTCTTACAAAAGAAAAACAACATATTCAGCATGATGTGTACTCCAGCAGGATTTGTGCTCTAAAGCAAGAGGGATGACACTCTGAGCTCTCAGCAGAACGCTGCAGGGAACAAGTGTGTTTACCTAAAGGCTCTTCACAAAGGAGAGAAAGGAGCTCAATGAAGCTCTAAGTCTGTATGAAGCAAAGAGGTGTGAGGCAAATAAGGTGCTCTGGGTTTTATCAATGTTGAAACAAACAAGAAAGACTAATCACCTAATTCCAAAGCTGCTGAGAACCTTTGAAACTCAAGTCTTAGATACCTCAGCCTGAGTTCATGCAACAAGGCCCCAGCAACTGCACTGAGCAGAAATGCCCATGGGACCAGGAGTCTGTGGTCGGTGTTGGGGTTCTCTATGTCTTGGATCAGAGTCTGTGGTCAGTGTTGGGGTTCTCTGTGTCTTGGATCAGAGTCTGTGGTCAGTGTTGGGGTTCTCTGTGTCTTGGATCAGAGTCTGTGGTCAGTGTTGGGGTTCTCTGTGTCTTGGATCAGAGTCTGTGGTCAGTGTTGGGGTTCTCTGTGTCTTGGATCAGAGTCTGTGGTCAGTGTTGGGGTTCTCTGTGTCTTGGATCAGAGTCTGTGGTCAGTGTTGGGGTTCTCTATGTCTTGGATCAGAGTCTGTGGTCAGTTTTGGGGCTCTACCTCTTGGATCAAAGTCTGTGGTCAGTTTTGGGGCTCTACCTCTTGGATCAGAGTCTGTGGTCAGTTTTGGGGCTCTACCTCTTGGATCAGAGTCTGTGGTCAGTTTTGGGGCTCTACCTCTTGGATCAAAGTCTGTGGTCAGTTTTGGGGCTCTACCTCTTGGATCAAAGTCTGTGGTCAGTGCTGGGGCTCTACCTCTTGGATCAGAGTCTGTGGTCAGTTTTGGGGCTCTACCTCTTGATTCAAAGTCTGTGGTCAGTGCTGAGGCTCTCTACCTCTTGGATCAAAGTCTGTGG